GCGGGGATCGCGGGGCCTCCCCGGCGTGTGAAAACTTATCCCCGCTTGTAAAAACCCAGCTTTGGCCCAACACGTAACAGCATGTGTGGCGTCTTGTGGCTCTCCCCTTGCCGTGGTGAGAAGCCTCTCGAGTGATGTGACCAGTTTTGGGCCACTCTTTCAAAGAAGGACATGAAGGGGGCTGGAGGGAGTCGAGAGAAAGGCAGCGGAGTTGGGAAAGGGTCTGGAGCGCGAATCTGGTGAGGAGTGAGTCCCCCCACACTCACCTCGGGGAAAAGCAGGCCCAGGGAGGACCCTGTATCTCTTTACAATTCCCAGACAGGAGGTTGCAGCCAGGTGGGCTCTGCTCCTCTGCAGACCAGGAATAAAGAGTCCTAGGCTGTGCCAGGGGAGGTTTAGGTTGGACAGCAAAAAGAATTTCTTCACTGAAGGGGTGATTAGACATTGGAACAGGCAGCCCAGGGAGGTGGTGGAATCACCATCCCTGGAAATGCTAAAGGAAAGACTGGATGTGGCACTTAGTGCCATGGTCCAGTTGGTGTTCAGTGATGTTCATGGTGTTCAGTCATGATGATTTTGAAGGTCTTTTCCAACCTAATTGATCCCATGATCTTGCATAGTTTGCTTCCTAGTGTTTGGGCAGGTACATGATGCACAGCCACAGCTCCCAGTTTGGCTTTATTTTCTTCAGGCTATTGATAGGGAAGTTAAACACATCAAATCTGGTGTGATTTTCCCCCATCCTGTTCAGTGCTCCACTGTCTCCATCATAAAGCTGAACTGGCTCATGATTGTAAAAGCTGATCTGTAAAGGACAGGCTGTCTGCTTTGTTACCTGCTTTGTGTTGGTGTCTATAATTTGGATAATATGGATGGATAGGAACCATGTGCTGCACACAGCAGAGCTTCTGTGGGGCACAAATAACTCCAGGGACTGGGCTTCAGTATCAGCTGATTATGTATATGATCTCACAATTACATGGTGGGGTAGCCAACAATTCTACTCCTAGAGTTTGTGCCCATTTCCCAGTGGGCTCATTCCTTGCTTAACTCCTTGTGTTCTAGCAAAAAGATAGATTTTAAGCAGAATAGGGGACTACTCTCCTTACTGTAAAAGATACTGGAGTAGCACTGGGCTGTCACATGGGGAGAAGGCTCTGTTGACATATGCCTTCTTGTATGTTAGGAGAGGTCAGCTTTCTTCTTGGCTAACTGGTAAGTCTTAGGGCTTGTTAGGTTGAAGGAAAAAGTAGAAACAAGCAGAAATCAGTAGGCTGAGCCTTCCAGCAATCAACCACAGGTTTTATGTTCCTTTGAACAAGTGCTGCTGTTGAAGTGTTCCTGCCACGTGAACCCTCCATGCAAGCCAGGCTCTTTGAGCCTTCTTGTCTCTCAGCAGCCTTCAGGGAAGGGGCAGGCAGTTCAGTCCCATCTGAACCTATATTCACTTTCAAACTCTGCATCATCCTGTAGGAGCAAACTGCTAGACTTCATGTGAAATGTTCATATTGTAAGAAATCTCTTTATGCTAGTATAGGGAAGACTGAATAATTTCCCCCTTTAGGCTTCTGTGAACTTTAGTGACTTTATGTGTTTACATAATGTTATTATTCTTTATACCCATCTCCCTTCTTTGTGTCTGTGCTCAGCAGAACCATCTTTCTTCCTCTTTGTGTGCCTGCTCTTTGTGCACCTGCTTTTTGTGCCTGGGTTCCTCTTTCCTGTCCCTCCAGGGATCTGGAAATATAGCAAAGCCTGAGAGATTCAACCATGAGCTGCCTTTGAAGAGGGAGTGAGCAGTCACTAGTCCCAGCTGCCAGTTGGGAGTCCAATCCATGGGACCTCTAAATGCCTTAACTAAGTCTGTACTGCTGCTGTGGGCAGTAATATTTTCTCACTCTCATCACTCTGCATTTAGCTGTATTGAATAATTTCTGGCAGAAATCTATCAAGGTGGTGAGTTCTTTCTGTAAGTTTGCACTGTTTTCTCAGTAAATAACATATGAATATGTCAAAGAACAGAAATCCCAGCCTAACCCCTTTGTGGCCTTCCTGGTAAACTCCCTTCATCACAAAAAAGACAATTGACCTTTGTTTTCTGTTTTTAATCTGATTGGTAAAACAGAAAAGACATTTACCCCTTTTTTATCATATCAGTTTGCTTCTTTGGAAGTTTTCAGCAAGAGACATTGCTCTAATCTGGGGTTTGAAATATTTTTTTAACAGTCTGACAGATCACCTGTAACCATGTGGGTATCAGTGTATTCAGATATTTAAGCCTGTCTGCATTCTTCAGAAGTTGTGTTTCAGTCCTTCCCATTTATCATGAGAATAATACACAAGATTAAGTGGCACAGGAATTGGATTCCTGGGCCCCTATTCAGTGGACACTACACTGGCCCTTTGGAGATTTTCATGGAGCAGATCTGTGAGCAGGTTCTGGGTTTGCTTCTTGTGGTGAGATGTTGATAGGTGTTTTTTTACTTCCTAACCTTGGTAGTTTCTTACGGAATGAACCACATGGAGCACTTGATTTCTTGGCAGCTAATCTTACAGAATAGTTTTTGGAGGAGATGATGAGTGGTTTGAATTTCTTTAGACAATTTACGTAGCAGCTGTAAAACACAGTTGGCTACTATTGCTTTTGAGACGTTTTAAAGATTATGCATATCCTTATTGTCTTGTCTTCAGTAGATACTCTTGCTAACAGTTGGTTTGGGATAGAGTAGTACCTGGGAAAGGAGGATTCCAGGATGGAAATCTTGGTGACCTCTTCTATTTTGGCTATTTAAATAGTAGTAATGTTCTACTTTTTCTCCAGTGTTTTTTTTTACTTCCACTGTACTTCTGATTCCTACTTCTTTTGCTATGAATTCATGTTATTTATTGTAAGCTGTTAATATAATTTGGCCTGGTTTTTATCATATATATTTCATAGTTATGGTATATGTGCTGGTTAGTGACAAACAGTAATACCAGACTAACTCTTTACAGACCAAGTGCTGTTTCTTTGTTTCCCACTTATGTTCCCAAGAGGTTCCAGTGTTCTACAGGGCATGAAAATCTGCAGTGTTAGTGAGAATGTTGTCACAGAATAGCTTTTCATTTCGTTGCTAACATCCTGCTTTTGTTTGGGACTTCACAAGATGTATTCATTGCGTTCATGTCATCAGATGTTCACCTATGGGAGGCATGGGTGGAAAGATGGGATAGTCAACAAACACTTTGTTGTTGACTTCATTTGCCTATGAAGAAATCACACATCTTCTCTCTAACTGCCTCCTGCAGCATTTCATGTAAAATGCTGCTCAAATTTATAAGCATCTTTCAGCCATGCTAGGAAGGTAGTTGGGATTTTTCAGATGTGCTTTGCTGTAGGTGACTTGTAGCAACAACAAAAAAAAATCCATAAATTTGGGTGCCTCCAAGAGATGGAGGCTCTTGGCTTTGGGCTCTGTGCAAATGTCTTAATAGTCCCATGTTTGCTTCTAGAACATTTATTTGAGAACAGGTGTAGTAATGTATTTTGTGAAAGATGAATTAGATTTTGGATTTATTTTTGGCTTTAAAAGGCTATTTTGGTATTTGATTTAAAAAATGTGTGATAGGACACAAAATATTGTCTAGTCTTGTTGGTCTGTGACTTACACAAAAAATTCTTTTCTGTTCATAGCTCTGTTCTTAAGACATTGCAGCCATGACTAAGAGAGAGGCAGAGGAGCTGATAGAAATTGAGATTGATGGAACTGAGAAACAGGAATGCACTGAAGAAAGGTATGTACTGTCTTTGCTTTTTGGGATCCTTAGGCAGCAATTAACTGACTAATTAGTTTTTCTGCTTCTTTTCTAATGAAACAGTGGTTTTCTGGAAGTTGAGATGTAGC